GTGATCGTACTAGTGCTCATTTATTACGATCAATCAAAATAACCATTGAGGTCAATGTTTGAGCAGTCCCTATTGGGGAAATGAACTTATCTGAGGTGATTGTGGGCAAATGCGCACCACCTGCGATGGGTATATATGCACAGTTTAGTCCTGATGGTTAACGAGTAAGAAATATATAAAATGCGGGATCCCATCAACTCACCGACAATCATTTAGTAGACACCACATTTCACTGACAATTACTTACCGATAAGTTCATTTCACCGACAGTTTATTCACCAAAGCTCATTTTACAGACAAGTAATTCTGGTCAATATCATTAGAGTTAGTAAGAACTAGAGTTAAAGTTTGTGTAATTTATAAAAAAAAACTCGTCGGTGAAATGAGCTTCGGTGAAATAGACTGTCGGTAAAATGAACTTGTCGATGAATAATTTTCTGTGAAATGTGATGTCTATGAAGTGATTGTCGGTGAAACAATACGGACCCATAAAATGCATGTAGATGTTATTAATAAAGGGCATCGGGAGCAGTTTTGGAAACCATATGTTCACAGCGTTCACAGTGAACATAAATTTTTTAAAAAATTACAAATAAACTTTATCTATTAATAAAATTTGTTAATGTGAACGTAAAAAAAAAGCGTGTTCACAAAAATTACTTCGTCTTTTGAATTTTCAACACTGATCTTCTTATCTTATATACATGATTATCGATAACATTTGAGCATTTACATTTGTAATAAATGAACGCGCTTTCATACTGAAAAATCACAGCTTATGATTATCACCTACTAATATACATTGTAAAAACGGTACTGATTTGTTTGCGTTTTGAAAGAAAATAATGTATTTATATGGTTCATCGATCGTAATAGGTTTCAATGACGAATGACGAATCATTCGTCAGGTATTTTTATAGGTTTCGCTTAATAACCATAAGTCACGTTTAAGAGAGGCAGTTGTGTCTATCCATAAAAAACACCCACTTTTTATTGGATTAATAAAAGTTGGGGCAGTGCTATAAACATTAATGGCTTAGCAAAATGTCTTGTCAAAGGTTTATGTAGTGCTATAAACATTAGCAAATTGATAAATCAAACTTCGCCTGAATTTGATACAATGTCTTATAACCAAAAAAGTTATTTATAGGATGAATTTGTACTTTTTCTTGAACTAATAAATAATTATTCAAAAAAAGTTATTTATAGGATGAATTTTTGAATTTAAAAAAATAAATGTATTTCAAAATGGGTAAACATTTGATATTTATTTTTTATCATTTCATGATAATTTTATTCGTGCCCTATACAATCTCTACTACAGCTTGCCAAATTAGTGGCCCTAAATGCTGTTTTGACAACGCACATAGCGCATTCCGTAGTGCAACAATTAATCTAATCAACTACAGCGGATCCGATATTACTTTTGTAGATGCGACTCTCGACCGCGGAATCTGGACCTCACAATGCAATCCCAACGTAATTGATCGAATTCACAATGGCCAAAACATAACCTTTGCCAACGAATCAACAGGAAAACTTAATAATTTGGGTTCAGTTCGCTTTATTGTTGGATGCACGTACATTCTTAACATCTATTGGGAGAACCCTATATATGAAAGAAATTTGTATTTTGTTTATATTTCTCCATCCAATTCTCCTTATGTAGTAGAAGAGACTGGTGGACATGGTTATAATTCGCTTTATTCTATTACAATTAGAATGAAATAGATTTTATTATTTTCATGTATAGAATCTAGCAACTACTTTATCAATGTCACCTTTCATATAATTGCTCTATAAGACCTTCTGACCTTTATAAAATACCAGGGGCGGAGAACAAAGTATGTAAAGTATGGTTTACAGGCGAGTGAAGTAGTGTACCTTGTTTGCATCTGATTGGATAATCCATCCTCGTGACTTTCTCTTGTGATTTCTATATTTGTATATTACGAGACTTTTGTCTATTGACACAAAAGGTTATTCTAGATTATATTCATTTGTCTGGTGATTTTGAAAATAAAAACTTGCTATTTGTTATTATTCTCCTGTGATACGTACATGAAATTTCTATTTTTACTTGTTTGTTCATGGTTGTGAATTATGTATGTTATATAAATTCTATATCTTAAAATTTATTTGTATTAGCGTGGAGTTTCCGTTTTGTTGACCTGATGTATTTTTGTTATACATCATTTTTTGAAATTTGTTAATTATGAATTCACAAGTGTTATTTTTTGTCTCGGATGATGATAAAATCGAATGATCGTAAATCTGGGGCCTTAATTTAAAAGCATAAACCCTAAATCATAATTTAAATTTAAAAATATAAAACCTAAATCCTAAGGTAGGTAAGGGTATTATGGCGCACACATGATATTCAGTGATCTAGTGATCCGAATTGGATAATTTTACCATTATTCGATTCGCCTCATCAAGACGAATCGAATGGTGGTAAAATCGTCTAATTTCGATCACTGGGTCACAAGATATCCTTGCTTTAATGAAATAAACAAATATTAGTGCAATTATTATTAAGTGATATAGGCATTTTTAAATTTCAAAAACTTTGATCGAAGATATCATTGCAACCACATAACCAAAATCAATGAACTTTTCTTTATTTGAATTTTATGGTTCTTTAGAATTTAAATAAAAAAAAGTTCATCGATTTTGGCTATGTGGTTGCCAAGATATCTTCGATCAAAGTTTTGGTACGAATATTGGCGCAATTATTATTTTGTAGATTAACCATAGTAATAGCTGCCGCAACAAATTTGGACCGGCAGATCCTCGGTTTTGATTGGCTAAGAGCGACGAAAAAAAGATTAGGCCAGAATTACTCATAATTTTACTAATGAAATCATAGCCGCCCACTAAATGAAAATTGTTCCTGGGCCAATTTTACCATAATGTGGGCTTATTTTAAAAAAATTAAAAAGATAATTCCATTAGTAACCAATTTTGTAATGTGGGCCAAAATTTCGAAGATACTCGGCCGTTAGCCAATCAAAATCGAGGATCTGCCAGTCCAAATTATTAAGATTAAGTAATATAGACGTTTTAAAATTTCAAAAACTTTGTTTGAAGATATCTTTGCAACCACATAATCAAAATCGATGAACTTTTTTTTATTTGAATTATATGGTTCTGTAGAATTCAAATAAAAAAAAGGGATCTTCTTTAGTATAGCTGGGCAATATAGAAATATTATAAAATTATAATATAAAAAAACTCTAACCCTAA